ATGTATGATGCGGTGAAGGCATTTCAAGTGAAGCTGTCACAAATGCACCAGTGCAATCTGCCTCACTTTCCCTGTTGCCAAGTAATGTTGAACCAAGTCGGTGCACTTTGCTGATAAACTGAGCGCACTGAGTTTGCGGCGCTTTGGTGACTTTGAAGCACAAAAGAAGAATTTCGAGCTGCTTCGCAACCCATTTACGTGGAAACTGCACCTGTGCAAATTCAGATTGCGCTGCAGTGTAATGGGACACTCAAGTGAAAGTACGACACTGAATGGCCCGCACAGTTTATTTGTTCCATTCCTGAGGCAACGCCCAGCTCGGTCTACATGCGGCTCCAACCTTGAGTATGCTTTCATTTATTTTTTCTGCGGTTTTTGGCAGCATGTTTATATTTCTAACTTGCATAATTTTGACAGGATATATTTTTATGAAGACCAAAATATTTAAAGTTAAATAGTATTTTTTTAAGTTTATTTTTTTCTGGAATAATATTCCTGTTTTTATACATATTTATGTTTAAAAAACATTGTTTAAGTGTGTTCAAAAATGTTTATCTTGTTTGGCCTGCGACCTAAAGTGTGCCTTGAGTTTTGGCCCCCTGTGCAATTGAGTTTGACACCCCTGGTTTACAGCATCCTGCAATGAAACTGCATTTGTCCCTAACCATCGGGAACCCTCAAGTTAACTTTTATCAAGTGGAAAAAAGGTAGTGTTCATCCTCCAGCTTCACTGTTTATGTTATGCTAACATAGCTGTGTCGCTAGCATTCACGTGGCACAACATTATATACCAGCTAGCCCAACTTCAATAACCTTACAAACGTCACTGCTGTTTAGTTTCCTGTCTTCATTCATGTTGAAAGTGATGTACGTTTTGAATTTTTTTTAGAAATCTCTCAGTCAGAACATGCTATATTAGGTGGAAACTAACGAGCTAACTTCCTGCTCCGTTAAATGTAATAAATTCTGTTTTCATGGATCCATCCATCCATCCATCCATCTTCATCCGCTTTATCCGAGGCCGGGTCGCGAGGGCAGCAGCCTAAGCAAAGAGGCCCAGACCTCCCTCTCCCCAGCCACCTCCTCCAGCTTATCCGGGGGAACACCAAGGCGTTCCCAGGCCAGCCGAGAGATATAATCTCTCCAGCATGTCCTGGGTCTGCCCCGGGGCCTCCTCCCGGTGGGACATGCCCGGAACACCTCACCCAGGAGGCGCCCAGGGGGCATCCTTGTCAGATGCCCGAACCACCTCAGCTGGCTCCTTTCGATGTGGAGCAGCAGCGGCTCTACTCTGAGCCCCTCCCGGATGGCCGAACTTCTCACCCTATCTCTAAGGGAGAGGCCAGCCACCCTTCGGAGGAAGCTCATTTCTGCCGCTTGTATCCGCGATCTCGTTCTTTCGGTCACTACCCACAGCTCGTGGCCATAGGTGTCCCAGTCCTGATTTAATAGATCGTTCTTAAATGCATTCATAGTTTCTTCTGTCCTTACACGTCTGTATCTCAGTTGTTCTTCATGCTGATTTTTCTTATAATTAGTGTCATAAACTGCAAAAACTGGTAGGTGATCACTGATGTCATTAATTAATATTCTGCTCACAATGTTGTTTTCTATATTGTTAGTGAAAATATTGTCAAGTAAGGTGGCACAATGTGGTGTAATTCTGCTGGGCCTGCTTATATTAGGATGTAAACTCAAACTGTACATAGTGTTTAGGAATTCGTCGCTCATTTTATGCTTTTTCAGGTTCAACAGGTCAATATTAAAATCACCACAGATAAACGTAACTTTTTGATTTGTTTTAGAGAATATTTCCTCTATGAAGTCATTAAATACTTGAATACTAGAGCCAGGTGTTCTATATATACAGCTAATTATTACATTTTTCTCATTTTCCTTATAAATTTCAATTGTTATACATTGTAATAAATTATCAATTACAGTTGTCATACTTTCTACCACCTTGTAATTTAGGTTTTTATCCACATACACAGCTACTCCCCCTCCACTCTTGTTCCTTCTATTTACAAAATTCACATCATAACCCTTGTTGAGAAATCAGTTTTACCCCGGTTCTTTTTATTCCTCGAGCGTCCAGAGATGGCACCGGACTCAGTAGTCATTTTCACAAAATCTTTATTCATCTTTATTTATCTTCATTTACTCATCTTCATTTATCTTCATTTAAGCATGCACCTCTAGAAGGGAAGACGAGGCCGGTGTCCCTCTGCAAAAATCTTCACCCCTTTGTCTGTGAAACACAGTTTTATAGAAGGACCCCATCATAAAACCCCCACGGTGTGCCGCAAACTCTGTCTGTGTCTATGTGCACGAGCACATGAATGCCTACATGTGCGCGTTCCCATGTGTCTATGTGAGTGCTCGTGTGTGCCTGTGTGCACATACCTGTGTGTATGTGTGAGTGCACATGAGTGAGTGTGCGTGTGGATGTGTGTGCGTGACAGTTAAAACACTGTGGGTGTAGGTAACTCCCTAGAGGTCATAAAACCCCTCTCCCTTCCAGACCACAGGTATCCAGTTACAATGTTGAGACCCCCACCCATACATCCTCTGGGGAATTTCCACTCAGCATTAACTCTTCTCTGTTTTACTTTCACAGCTCAAGTGGGGGAGGGGTCTCCTACAATCTACTCCTAAGTTCACGACACAATCAGCCTTTATTATATTGAGGGCAGTGTCTCTACAATAGTTCTACATTCTATGATAACACATTTCTAAACTCTAAAATAAGCTAAACATTCTACACTCTCCAGTCCAAAGTCCAGTCCTTTGTCCGCATTGATCCATGTTTCAGAAATGGCAATAATTCCAAATGGATTTGTCAACTCATTTAGATATTCCTTTATATTGTTGAAGTTGGCATACAGACTTCTGCTATTAAAATGGATTATTGATAATTTATTTTCCGTGTTGATGGTGTGCTTAAACTGTTCATCAGTGAAGTAGCAGCAGTTACAGCTGATGTTGTAGAAGAAATTATTTTCCGGGTCTATATCCTTTTCTTAGTCTAGAACATTATGGTCTGTGTATCGAAATGTTCTCAGTTCCAGATTATCATAAAGAGAATTCCAATGAGTCATGTTGATATTGTTGCCGGATGCAGATGAAGTTCTTTTGGACTGTGCCATGTGTTGTGTTGTGTGTCACGTCACATGTGTATTCATACCTCCAGAGTAAGTTAACCTCAGTATTTGTCCAGCTCTTCCATATTTCTGATGACCAACACTTTGGCTTGTTCCGGTGTTCCATTGAGTTTAATGAATACTTTGTAGTTGGTGGTCCATGTATTTTGAATTTTTCCCTGTTTCTTCAAGTAACGTGCTTTCCTGGCAATGTCCGCATTTCTTTTTATCAGATGTTCGTTCATGAAGACATCGGATCCTTTCAGTTTCCTTCCTTGTTTTAACAGTGCTGTTTTCTGTTTTCTGTTTGCAAATCTCACAATGATGGCTGGTTTGTCACTGTCATTTTTTCGGGGTAGAGGGTGGCAAGCCTCAATGTTGTTATAATCCACTTCCACACCGTAGAAAGGTAACCACTTGATGCTCCATGGAGTTGACATCTTCCTCTCCTGGCCCTCCTACATTGTCAGCGGCGACCGCCCGGGCGTATGACCGGGGTTTGATGCGAAGCCCCGTGATGATGACATCGTTTATCCGGGTGTACTGCTCCAAATCCGCCACTCTGTTCTCCAGGTACGCCAGCCGCCGATCCTTCTCGGCGTTCTGGATGCGGAGAGCCTTAACTTCCTCGACCAGGTCCAGGATGGCTTTCTGCTGCAGTTTGACAGCAGAAATCTCCTCTGTCATAAACTCCAGCGACTTCTTAATATCGTCACCTTCCTCGGCTGAGAGAACTTTTTTCGGGCCCATGCTGAGAGACGTTCTTGTAGCGTTGCCGTGACGACCGGCTAGCTAGTTGATGCTAGCGTCCTTCCTCTCTCTCACCGCTACGGTTCAAAAACATCAACTTCTGAGTTTTCGAGAGGTCGCAAATGATGAGCCACCACTTCTGGACGGTTTCCCACACACGCTCTCAAAGTTTAGTATCCGCGGAGAGCTGCCGTTTTCAGGAGATATGTTAAGTTTGCCAACGTTTCTGCTCAGAGAACCTGTTGCTGACAGCTCCATTGCTGCATGGCCCACTTTCTCCTGAGATTCAGTTCACAGACAGATGTTCTGATAGTTTTCTTTACAATTTGCTGCTAGAATTCAAAATTGATTGTGTGATTAATGATGGTGAGCCAGATGGGCCAAACCATGATACTATCAGCAGCATGTTTCATTGTAGTGGTGCATCATTGATGGGATAAATGGACTGGTGCTTATGTAACATGGTAGACTAATGTGCCTGTGTTAATTCAGCTCCATATTATTGTGTGAAGTTGCACTGGGTTGGGAGTGGTTGTGTGTCACATTTTTGGTGAGCCAGTGGCTGGAATGGGGTTGGACTAGAGGCAGGTGTACTTGATTGCACTGATACACTGGTCTACTTATAGCCCACACTACAAACACTGCTGTGTCGTTTTGTCTCTCTGTGCAGGTTTGTAATGTGATGAAATCAGATATGTTTGGGATGGATGGGTTTTGCGCTATGGATTTTATACTGAAGGTGTCATTTTGTATCTCTGTGCAGGCCAGGGCCTATTATATGCCACAGCCTAAAGGCAGCAGAGTTGCCGAGGCAGGAGTGACCACTGGCTATATGCTTGCAGGGTGGTGGGTCTCCGAGGAAAACTTCTAACCCTGTTAAAAGCAACACGTGGAGTGCAACTGGACGTGTGGCATAGCTGGCTCTGGCCTTGGGACTGTGTTTTTATTTGATTCATAAATGGGACACTGGACTGTTTTATCTTTTATCTCTTGATTTTTTTTGTCAATAAATTATCTTTTAGAATTTTATTGACTGTCATCTTTTTGCCCACGACTGAGACAGTTGGTCAGACCTAGAATCTTTCTTTGGGTGTGTTACACTTATATAGTGATTTTCTGTTTTCATGTGGACTAAAGTAGTGGACTGACCAACAGACTGACATTAACATCAGAGCCGTGCTGCTAGTGTGGCTAAAAGAAAAGAGAAGAAGAGACAGTCATGTTGATATGAACATTAGAGAAACACATCATGGAGCTGAAATATGATCCTGCTTCCTCATTTGGACTCATTCACCTCAGCTGACACGTTCAACAGCAGACAGGTTTTTGTAGCAGTCTGTCTCACTGTGGGGAGTACAGGCGATGACTACGACATCTTTGGCTCTGGAACTAAACTGTATGTAACAGGTAAGAACAAACATTTATTTTCCTTCAGTTGTTTTATTGTAGAAGCTGAAAATGTGTTTAAAGTCAGTTTGTGCTGCTTCAGGCTTTACATGTTAGTTTTTCATCATTAGTAGAGAATTCATCTGCAGCCATTGTTACATAAGAAAAGCTCAATAATCTCTGAAAACATGTTGAAATCTCACTGAACAACTAAAGTTATTCTTTATTTCTGCAAATATTAGTGATGTTACAAATATTTAGGATTTGATCCTCTCAGTGATTCTGCTGGTTTTTAACACAAGATCATATTTGATGTTCAAATTAATACAGTAACAGATTTGTAAATATGAATTTTGCTAAGAAGAAAATGTAGATATGTTTTTAATAGTGAACGATATAGCATGTTGGTCCAAAGAGTCTTTTTTGGAAAAACATTATTTTATTAATTGTCATAGATACTGATCATGAAATGTTAAACGTCTAAAATGTGATGAAAAATACTGGATAAAATATGAAATTGTTAATCAGGTTTTATGAGTCAAAATGACAAATAATAATGAAAGTTCAAAAATGTTACCTGTAAATACTTCTTTGAAAAATATGTACAAGTAAATACACAATCATTCACAACATGTAATTTTTTAATTAAAAATAATAACAAATTAAATCAAATGGCCGAAAAAATGATTTAATTATCTTTCAAATTTCAGCTAAGTTGCATTTAATTTTATTTAATAATTCATTTACATATGGAAGAAAATAATCAAACCAAATAATAAAATTAAAGCTGATCCAATTATTGCAGTAAAAGATTTAAGAATTTTAAAGTCTCTGAAAGAAGAATGTTATTTATTGTGACAAATATAAAACATGTCTTTAAAAACTATTTAAAATTTACATCATGATTTGTTGGGAGAAGATCAATTCTGTAGAAATGTGTTTCAGATTGGAAATATATTTTAAAAATTATATGAAGGCAAATATATATATATATATTTAAAGTTGTTATAACTTAAATTTTAAAAACCAAGAAGATAAAGGAGAAATACATTTTATTTCATGATGTAAAATCACACTGAGTGTTCCTCATGTGAGCCATGATGACATGAGGTGATGACTGTGTTTGATATGAAGCTGAATCCAGTGTATGTAGTGAACTTTGTGCTGATGAGTAGTTTAGTGATCAGAGTCCATGTAGTTTCCAGGATCAGACTGAATGCAGTGCAGTGCTGGAAGCTGCTGCTGACTGTGTGAATGTGTGTCTGTGCTGCTTGTTGCTGCTGTCAAACTTCAGATGAGCAGGTAGTGAAGCCCGTGGTGAGCGTGTACCCAGCAGCATCCAGAGCCCACCTGGAGGGGAACAGCTCCCTGCTGTGTGTGGCCTCAGCCATGTTTCCTCCTCTGGTCCAGTTCTCCTGGAAAAGACAGAAGAAGAACGGCAGAGAAGCGGAGGAGCTGCCCCCTGCTGAGGGAGAGCAGCTGGAGCTCAGAGAGGCAGGACGCACCATTGCCATCAGGATGGTTGATGGGAGCCATTCTGACACATATAAATACAGCTGCTGGGTGAAGCACGAGGGGGGCACAGTGGAGGCCCGAACACAACAAGGTAATGAAGGCTCGCTGACTGTGTTCAGCAGTGATTCAGCTTCATGTGGAGATGCTGTCAAAGAGAGCAGAGCAGCAGAGGACTGACATTTCTCACTGCAGCTCCAAACATTTGACTCCTTTTCTGTTTCAGAGCTTCCAGCTCCAGCAGCCTCCTGTCCTCCAGAGAGAGAGCCAGCAGACCTGCCAGCTCTGCAGCCAGCTGACTGTAAGATCACCTGCTGCCTCTCTGCATGGACAGCTCCAATGTCCAATGAGGCAGCTGGAACAAGTTTAGGCTCTTAAAGTTGCACTAATTGATCAAATCTTCATCCAACAAGCTCTGATAAAGCCACTGTACACTAGCTGCTCAGCACCAAACAGCAGACAGACCATAATATGTCAGAGATCAGTTTGTTAGCTGCTTGTGGAGTTCTTCTGCCCCCAAGTGGACACAAACACTACATCAATTCATCCACTTGAAGAAGAAGCTGTGACTGTTTCTATTTGGACTTTTTCTCCTTGATCTGAGAGGAATAACCCGACTGTCTGTCTGTCTCTTTGTGTCTGTCTGTCCTTCAGTGTCCTTCCAGTCTCAGTGCAGGGTGAAGCTGCTCTGCCTGCTGTACACAGTGCTGATAGTGAAGAGTCTGGTGTACTGCTGTGGACTCTCTCTGCTGATGATGCTCACAAACAAGGGAGCGTCCACCAACTGCACACATGCTGACTGACTGTTTCCTGCTCGCCTTTTCTCACCATCACATCTCATCAATTCATCTCATTCATCACTTTGATCACAAATGTTAGTTATGATGTGTTGAGCTTATTTTGCCTTTTTCTTCAACAGTTAGAAGATCGTCTGAAATAAATACATCTTTACATGTATTGTTGCTCTGAGTTAGAATTCTTTTGTGCTTATTGTGACTTTTATTGTAGTAACAAAAACCATCAGGAATATTTTTATCACAAGTTTTTGTTTGATTTTCAAATGTCAAACAGTGTAGTTGTGTTTGTGTGAACAATAAAGATTTGAAGATGAAGAGTTTGATTCTACTTTCATTGTGTGATCAACAACAACCCGTGTGAGTGAAGCACAAACTGACTGTATCCAAACTTGCTCTCCTGCAGCAGACGGGCTGTGTGGGTTTCTGCTCTGCAGCCTCCACACCGTTAGCTGTGGCTTTCACTTTAATAACACAATGACAGTTACAAGCAGGAACTCTGCTTCAAGAATGATTCCAGGAAGGATCTGTGTTCTTCACCTGTGAGAGAAACAGCTCAAATCCTCAACTCACAGCTGACAAATGAACTTTAATGGAATCAAAGGAGAGACCATGAAGCCCCTGCAGTCTGCTCAGCTCCCATTTTACTACCTGAGCTGAGTTTTTCATTCTGGATATCACACACGTAAGAACAGATCAAGTCTGAACAGCAAATGTTGGAGAATCATTTTGAAGTCTTGCTAAATGTCGTTATTATTACAAAAACTACTGAATGATTCAGAAAATCCTTTCCAACAAGCAGAAATATGCAAACAAAGTAGAAACAAGGCAACATGAGTCATTCAGATGCAGATAACATATTCTCCTTATTGTGAAGAACACAGTCATGAAATCTTTCTGTGTGTCATTCATTGAGTTGAAGTGCCTAATAGAAGAGGAAGAGCAGCAATAATCAATGATAGCTGAGACATTGAGAACATGGCTGTATGCCTGCTATCATAACAGCAAACAAAGCACACAAACAGCAAACACACAATAATGTGCTCGCAGCTTGTTGTGTGTTGTGTCATTTTTGACATTTCATGAAGTCACAAAAATGTGTGCGACTCATTAAAGGAGTGTGTACGTGTCAGTCAGTGCTCTGTATTCATGTGTTCACCTCATTAAAGTCACTCAGACACTTTTCTCCTCCAAACTTACAGCACAGCTTCATATTTCACTGACTGATTCTTTCATTACATCCATTAAGGGTCACACAGTGAAATTAGTGCAAACTTACAAATGTGTTGCAACAATTTTGGCCTCCAAACTGAACTTTGAGACAAACAGTGAAGCTGTGAGCAAAAAGAGGCTCCAGTGTGTGTCATGGTGGAGGAAACTGTTGTATTCCCACATTCAAAACATGCTGATCTTATTGGATTTGTCCCTCAAAGTCTTTTTCCTCCTTTTTCTCTTCATCCAAATGTTCTAGCAGGCTGACTGTGAGTCCCTGTTGAACCTGTACAGCAGAAAGTAACAGCAGTCAGCGGCCTCCACTTGACTTCATGACTTCAACGCCTCGCACAGTCACTTTCACTTTCTTCCTTCTGTCTTTTAGTCCTAAAATGTAGAACAACACCAGATCCAAATATTTGTGTCCTTCACTCACATCTTCAAATGATCCCTTCCATATCAGAGATGATACAAAGGCAACATTTGTCTTATTTCTCTTTCAGGAATCAAAAAGTACTTTTGTACTGTTGTGTAAATGTGTGTGTAAAGGTGGATGACTGCCTGCTGCAGATGAAATCTAACCATGGGTACAAATAAATGAGGCTGACGTGAAACACAGCCCTGTTTTTATTACTGTTTATAGATATTAGAATTGATGATCATCATTTGAATGATTCTTAAAAAGGCTTTAATGAATCCTTCAGTCTGAAACCAACTTGGAACAAAACACATTAGAAGATGTGGGAAAGAACCACAGTGTGCACATATTTAAACACACAACAGAACCACAGTGTGCACATATTTAAACACACAACAGAACCACAGTGTGCACATATTTAAACACACAACAGAACCACATGTGTTTGTTTCAAATAAACTTTTTACTCTAAATGTTGTTATATATGATTTTGTTTTTTTAACTACTTTGTGTGCAATTTATGAACTTTTAAAATATTTAACCATATTATTTATTTTAGATTTTTCTATTTATTTATAGTTTCATTATATTTAGTTTGAATATTTAGTGTTTTCATCACAGCTGTTCAACCACAGATAACAGTGTGTGTTAGTAAATTCACAGCAACATGAATGTTTCTGAGTGTTTGTGCATCATGTGACCCAGATTTTTGGATCTGCTGTCAGATTGAAATGAAGACGATGAAACCACAGCAGCTTCAGCTGAGCTGTCAATCAGCAGCAGCAGTCTTATCTGTGGGCCGCAGGGGCTGATGGGAGCTTTGAGGACCTGTTAGAAACCACGTGGCCCTCGTCTGATCTCACAGCTCGTCCTTGTTTGGCCTCAGCTGCATCAGAGCGCCACTTCTCCCCAGGTTCACCAGAGGAAACACCACTGCACAAAATGCTTTTCCTCCCAGCTGCTGCTCTGTGCTGTCTGTGTTCAGGTGAGTGTTTCCAGCCAATCAGGAGCCAACAAAGTCAACCTGTAACAAACACTGTCACACTAACCTTCATCTGTCTGTCTGTGTCTCTACAGCACTGGTCACCATGGCAGCAGAACAGCTGATTCAGGACGATTTAACATTGACCAGGAGAGTTGGACAAAGTGTCTCCTTCAGCTGTGGAGGGATGGAACAGTGTAGCAGCAGCTATCGGTACTGGTACCAGAAGAAGGAAAAAGAAACATTCAAAGTTATTCTACAAATTGATACTAATAATGGCAGAGTTTATTCAGGTTATGATCATCCTCAGAAAAATGATTTCTCAGTTGTGAATAAACAGAACAGCTATGAGTTGAAGATAAATAAAATTAAACGCGATCATTCAGCCACCTACTACTGCTCCTGTTATAAGTCTGCTCCCCACAGTGAGAAATGATCCCTGCAGCCTGAACAAAAACCAACAGATGAACAGATGTCAAACAGTGTCTGTGACAGGAAGAGAGCAGTAAACCACAGCCCAGCTTCACATGTTTCACCTCCATCTCAGAGTCACAAAACATACTGAACTCAGGGACCATTTTTATTTACTGCTGTCAGAAATTCAGTTTCCCTCAGATTCATCTTCATTAGATCAGCATGTCCAAATGAATAATGGAAAACTTTTCCACCTCAACTGTTGTAATTTAATTCTGAAGAGAAACCACAGCTGAGGATGATGGTTTTTCACGATGAATGAAGTCCATCTCTTGTTTCTTATTTTGTTTCTTATTCTAAAACTGTAAACTTATTTCATCAACTTTCATCATCTTTGTCTTTAAGTACATCCACAGATCAGCTCCTCAGCTTTTGAGCCACAAACTTCACTGCTTTCTTCACAGGCCTGAGAAAAGTGTCTGTCTTGCATTAAAGACTGTAGAAAACTAGAGCCGATCAAATGTCAAGAATTGTCTGAATTGTTTAACTGGGATGAAGAATCACCAAAAAGGAAAGGAGGGAATGAGGTTCAGCCAAGCCACTGACGAGCAGCTGAAAGGGAGGCTCTGAAAACAGTTGATAACTTCATTATTAACTCTAACTTTCTACTTCTAAATTCAGATAAAACTGAGGTTATTGTACTTGGCCCTGAAAATCTTAGAAATATGGTGATGTGGTAGATGTTTGTATGATATGTACAACTATGTAAATATATACACTATATATCTGTGTGCACTGAACATATATATTTTAACTTTCATGTAGAGTCTTAAGCACAAGACATTTTGCTTCACCACGGTTTATTAAGGTGGTGCAGTAACAGGGCAGTCAATGTGACGTTTCACTTCTTCGGAGGTGCTAAGCTTCTCGGATGAGAGGTGAAACGTCTTCAAGCAACTTAAAGAAGTCCAGACGCTTTTCTTTCCAAGCTCCTTAGACTACGATGACCTGGATGACTGAGAACCTTCACAGACACCGTGTCATGACCTGTTGTGATAAGCCAAAGCCAAAGGGTAGCCGGAGTCCTTGGCCGCTACCTGACCCCTGCAGCTGTGTTTGGCTGGAGGACGGGAGGGAAAGTTACCCAGCAGCAGGGGCGGGGATACTGGTCCCTATATATTAGGGGACCAGAGGACACCCCAGCACTTTTTTCCCCCTCTGCTGTTTCTCTCTGTCCGTCTCTGTGTTGCTCTACTGTCTGGGCTTAAGGCTGTACACCCCGGGGTTTTGCTTTGCTTGCTTGCTTTCTGCTTTGTAATTTTCTTGCTAAATGTCTGTATGTATTTTTCCTGCTGTTCATATGATTCAGTGTATTAAACTCTGTTCCAAGAATTCTGCTCTTTTCCAGAGAATCTTTTTGAGTGTCTTGATTTTAATTGGATCTAAAAGGGTTGTATCTCCACATCGTTGGTGGGAGAACGTTATCTGGATGTCTTCAAAATTTGCGACCACAGCATCTAAGCAGATTCTTACTCTGGATGGCATTACCTTGGCCTCCAGTAACACTGTGAGGAACCTTGGAGTCATTTTTGACCAGGACATGTCCTTCAACGCACATATTAAACAAATATGTAAGACTGCTTTCTTCCATTTATGCAACATCTCTAAAATTAGAAATATCCTGTCTCAGAGTGACGCTGAAAAACTAGTTCATGCATTTATTACTTCCAGGCTGGACGACTGTTATTCATTATTATCAGGATGTCCTAAAAACTCATTGAAAAGTCTTCAGCTAATCCAAAATGCTGCAGCAAGAGTCCTGACAGGGACTAGAAAGAGAGAGCATATTTCTCCTGTTTTGGCTTCCTGTTAAATCCAGAATTCAAAATCCTGCTCCTCACATACAAGGTCTTCAATAATCAGGCCCCATCTTATCTTAATGACCTTGTAGTACCATATCACCCTATTAGAGCACTTCGCTCTCGCTCTGCAGGCCTACTTGTTGTTCCTAGAGTATTTAAAAGTAGAATGGGAGGCAGAGCCTTCAGTTTTCAGGCCCCTCTTCTGTGGAACCAGCTTCCAGTTTGGATTCGGGAGACAGACACTATCTCTACTTTTAAGATTAGGCTTCAAACTTTCCTTTTTGCTAAAGCATATAGTTAGGGCTGGACCAGGTGACCCTGAATCCTCCCTTAGTTATGCTGCAATAGACGTAGGCTGCCGGGGATTCCCATGATGCATTGAGATTTTCCTTTCCAGTCACCTTTCTCACTCACTATGTATTAACAGACCTCTCTGCATTGAATCATATCTGTTATTAACCTCTGTCTCTCTTCCACAGCATGTCTTTATCCTGTCTTCCTTCTCTCACCCCAACCGGTCGCAGCAGATGGCCCCGCCCCTCCCTGAGCCTGGTTCTGCTGGAGGTTTCTTCCTGTTAAAAGGGAGTTTTTCCTTCCCACTGTCGCCAAAGTGCTGATCATGGGGGGTCATATGATTGTTGGGTTTTTCTCTGTATGTATTATTGTAGGGTCTACCTTAGAATGTAAAGCACCTTGAGGCGACTGTTGTTTCGCTGTATAAATAAAATTGAACTGAATTGAACAGACACAATTAGAAGAATCTGAAAACCAAACTGAATCATTTGTTTCACCGTGAGGTCCGGTATGTTATGTAAATATACATAATATCATGTGTGGTATCCATATAAACCTCTAAATCTCAGCTCAAAGAAAATATAAAGCTTTCCTACAGCCACCAAACACATCAAAAACAAAAAACAATTAAAAGAACAGTTATGTCACTTCACAAAATGTACGTACACACAAACAACCGAACCCTGTATACTCTCGATTTCATGTAACCAAGCAAACAACACATTTTCTAATAGCAGAGATCTAACTGATTCTAAAACTGCAGGTTTTGTTGTGCTCTGACCAAAATGCACTGAACCAGCTGCAAAAGAAGGCTAAACATAATCTTCATGCTTAATAAACTTCATGTTTTGATAAACAATACTTCAGAGCCAACAATTGCCATTTTCTACCCAGTTACAGACACGTGACTGGATGACGGCATGTGCCTTCAATTTAGGGTCATTTGTATTTCCAGCATGGTGGCAGGGTGGTTAGCACTGTTGCTAAAGGTCCTGAGTTCAATTCCACCATCAGGCCGGGGTCTTTCTGTGTGGAGTTTGCATGTTCATGTACTCCGACTTCCTACCACAATACAAACACATGCAGTTAGTGGGGATAGCTTAATTGATCATCATCTAAATTGCCCATAGGTGCGAATGGTTGTCTCTGTGTGTTAGCCCTGTGACAGACTGGCGACTGGTCCAGCGAGTACCATGCCTCTCGCCCTATGACAGCTGGGGTACGCTCCAGCGCCCCCCATGACCCTGATAAGGATAAGTGGATTTGCAGCGTGCAACTTCTGATTTGGTGGAACTGGTGTAAATGTGGTGATGTTACCGTGATTCTATTGGCTTAAGTGACCTCTAATTGTCATGCATGAAAAAATAATAATAATCTGCACTTTTTTGAAAACCCAACTAATATTAACAAGTTAACA